GTCTGAGCTACATTAGCATCGGATTAGACGCGCCAAGTGCCTCGACCGTTCGCAAGTGTGCTTGGATGATGGCGCTCGTGCTTCAAGTCGCCGAGGCCGACCGAACGCGGAATCCCTGTGTGCTCTTGACGCCAGACGCGATGTACCGCGTCTGCGCCGGCTTGCGTCGATGGACCGACGACTATATCGTTTGCGCAACGCTCGAAGTGCTTTGCATCCGGTTGCATCAAATGGAAGCGAGCTACGAGCAGCACCGACGTGAGCACCGAAAAAATCACAGCGCGTCGCGCCTCGTGGAACCGCTCGTGTCGAGGGTTCAATTCCGCGTGCGTGGCTTGGCGGGTCTCCGCGTGACACCGAACGACAGCTATCCCACCGCAAGTCACCTCGCATTGGCTCGTAGCGAGCGGCCTCAGCGCCCTCTGAGGGCTGCTTGCAATCGGTTGTGCTTGTCTACAATACAGAGCGTCGCGACCGAGACAACGCCGCGCTCGACGTCCTCGCTTCCCGAGATCGTCATGGTAGTCGACCTTCTCGAATCTGTCGAGTTCAAGCCGAGCAGCATGGACCGTGCTTCGAAACGATCGCTGGAGCGCACCGAGGGCTTGAGCCTCGTGGCGCCTTCTGTCCTCAAGGAAGTCGAGTACCGACGGGCAACACGACGGGAGCTCGTGGTGCTGCTCCGCCGAACGCAAGCTTTGCATGAGGCAGCGCAGACGCCAGACTTAAGGATGCGAGGACGCAATGGCCCAGCACATCGCCGCTCCCGCGCGTACGACCTCGCCGAGGCGCAAATGTCCCTCGTTACGCTCTTCTCCAGCGCAAAACGATGTGCGCTGGACGACTACGTGGCCAACGGTCTTGATGACGCGCTGCGTACATTTTTTGAAGCCAACATTCGGCCACTCCTCGATAACACGACGCTAAAACTACCGCGCGAGCACAAGCGGTGGTGGCCTCGCACATAGCGTCGTCGTCTCTCGCGCGTAGCCCATTGAAATGCACCGGTCGGAGCCATTGTTTCGGTCGTGACCAGTGGGACTCTGCGATAATCAAATAGCATCCCCGTGTCTGGTTTCACCCGCGAGAAGAACCGAGCCCCATGCAGGGGTACGTACATTATTATGTACCCCTGGCCCCATGCGCCCGCGTCCCAGATCCTCCCTCAAGGTTTCCATTAGGGCTAGGTTTAGCTCGATGTAAGCTGCGTGCATCCTTAGTTCTCAATTTCTTCTCGTCGACGCGCACCAGCCTCCAACACGGACGCCACCGACAGATTTTAACTGGTTTGGGTGAGCCATTCTTGATGCAAGCAAAAACGACTCGCAAGGGTGACGCCCCGACATGCATTTACTAACTTGTAGTATGCGAGCACCAAGTGCTTGGCCGTCATTGGAGAGGTGGAGGCACTACGGGACGGCTCCAGTTCGGAAGAGAAGATCTTCGCCTGGAATGGAGCCCGCCACGATAGCGCGATGCCACTGCGTGTCGACGACATGTTGGTGAACTTGTCTGAAGGATCTTTTTTCGATGTTGAGACCTTGCGTTGGCCTGCTTGACAGAATCGATCCACGTTTGGTAGTTGTTTGGGTGGACACAGCGGTGGCGATATGAGCTGAAGAATTGCACTTGGCCACAAAGTTGACTGTACCAAGCGTCGTATCCGGCTGCGCAAAGTGGCATCGACACCTTCTTGCTCACGATCGCCATGCTCGAGTCTACCTTGTCCTTGCCCTTTGTACCGTTTCATCAGAAACCGTTTTAGACGTGCATTTAATTAGTGCTTTTACCTCGTACGCAGCTCCCTCCAACGACCCAGTATTGGCTCCCACTCTTATCCGCCGTCATGTATACCATTTGAAGCATTTACACATGCGAAGACGCTTTGTTTTGGATGCGGTTCTCGCTCACTTCGATTGGACCGCAGACACATTGGATGGATACATCGATGCTTTTGGATTACTAGTGTCCGTGTTGTTTCATGAGCATGAGAATAGCGCGAAACGCTGCATTTTTGAAAAGAAAGTCCGCTGCGGACAGCATGGCCACGTGCTACGCATCGCCCAACACGACGTGCTCGACAGCCGTTTGGCCCACTTGCGGGTACAGCTGGCTGCTACAGACCCCCGTCGTGCTCCTCTGGGGCGTGTGGCTCATGGGGGGCGGCCGGCTTCTGCTCTATTACCAATATGCTGCGCGG